TTTGACTAAAGCTAAATTTATAACTGAAATCAAAGTTACCACAGCCTGACAATGCATTCAGTGAAGTCAGGTAACACCACTAAAGCAGGTTTGACAGTCATCAAAACATCACATCCAGCTAAAAAGCTAGCCAATTCTGGGTCTACCAGAAGTACACTGGGTGATTGCAATTCTTCAAACACAAGATGATTTTTATATTTACAAAGGCTTATAGGCATTTGTGTACATCTGTTCCAAAAAATTAGAGGGCGCGGGGGGGGAAATCAAACATCAGGACAGAACAGATTTTCTGTTAAGTGACCCATGGTTAGAGGCGAGTGCAACAGTATTTTGCGTGTGCACATGATGGGAAGTCCTGCAAGGTGGAAACCACCCGTGACTACCACTGCGTTGAAAGAGGAATTTAGAAAGACGAGTGCTTTAAGATTATATAGAAATTTATTCTGTCACCTATGGTAATGTTTAGAGACAGGGAAACTTTGGTCAATGGAGCATGCTTCAAACTCCTCCAGGTGAGGGCTGCTATAGAAAAATATTTGCCATTAGAAAGCACCTTGAAATTCACCACAAAGAGGATTCCACTTTTCCCAGTTAATTAATAGCTTGCAATAGGCTGGGTGGTCTTTAACATATTCTGCTTTTGTATGCATCACAATCTCCTACCTTATCAATGAGTAAGACAGCAGGCAACTTTCCTCCTCAGTTCTTTCTTCATCCAGAGGAAGAGAGAGTCTTTACATTTGTTTTACATTTATTGCTACAGCTAGCTGCTCCTCAGGCTAACAAAAGCCCAAATTGAATTCTTCACCCTGTTTCCCTCCTCCTGCTCTGTTTCTGTGTCGTAGGCTCTTCACCAAGGGTCTGCACAAGTGGGTGTCCTTTGATGAAGTGGAGTGAGGAGTGACTATCTACCAGCACCAGGAACTTCAGCCTTAAGGCCACCCCAAAAAGAAGCATTTAGCCAGAGCTTATGCCCTCTATGCTTCACCGCCCAAGGCCGCTTCCTGTTCTACTTCCTAGGAATCGTCATCCTTTCCAAGATTATACTCCCACCCAGGCCGGTGCTACCATTTAGGCAAACTAGGCAGCTGCCTAGGGCGCCAAGATTTGGGGGGCACCAAAAAGCGGTGCCCCCAATTTTTTTACATCGTTCCTACGCCCCCTCCCCGAGCACGCACTCCACTTCTCCCGCCTCCCAGGCTTGCAGCGCCAATCAGCTGTTTGGCGCCGCAAGCCTGGGAGAGGAAGAGAATTAGAGCGGGGGCGACGTGCTTGGGGAGGAGGCGGAGCGAGGTGAACTGGGGTGAGGAGCTGCTACACTGCTCCCCAGGCCGGGGGGTGGGGAGCTGCCATGGGGGGTGCCTCGGGGGGGGGGGAAGCGGCTTTGGGGTGGGGGTGTCCTCACCTCTGCTACGCCTCTGAGCACGCCGTCGCTGCTCCACTTCTCCCGCCTCCCAGGCTTGCGGCACCAATCAGCTGTTTGGCGCCGCAAGCCTGGGAGGGGAGAAGAATTAGAGCGGGGTGGGGGGTGCCTCAGGGGTGGGGAAGCTGCTGCGGGGGGGGCCCCTCAGGGCGGGGAGCTGCCGCAGGGCTGGGGGGGGGGGAGAGTACAAGGTGGAAGTTTCGCCTAGGGCGCAAAACTTCCTTGCACCAGCCCTGCTCCCACCCCAAAATAAACAAAGTTCCCCCACCTCCCCCTTCCCAGCCATCCAGTTCTCATTGAGATGCCTTCCAAGATAACCCAACTTGCAAGGTTATCCCCAGCTTTATTACTCCCAGCCTATCACTAGTCTGAAGAAAGGGAACTCCCTAAACACAGCCTGCCCCCTTCCCAGCATGCTTTGCCTCAGAGCCTGCAACTCTTATCAGCCCTTGGAACTACAAATCCCAGTATTCCTCTGAATTGGCACCAGGAACAGGTTAGAAATTGATCCAAAGCCTGACTTAAGGGGCTAGCACATCCTGTTATATCTGGGAGTAGTAGAGAGTGTCTACATCCCTTTGGGGAGAAATGAAGGATCTCGTTTTCTTTTGGGATTTATAGTTAGAGATGGGTGTGAGCCAAATGTCTACATCTGAATATCCACAAACTTTGGATTTGTACTTCAGGCTCCATTTTTAGCTAAGGTCTATTTAAGAAGTTATATATTGCCATAAAGACCAAAGGTCAGATTTAAAGAACATTTCTAGTTTGGCTTTTGGCTGCGTGGGGACCTCTGAAAGAAAGAAAAAATTACCTCGGGGCATGACTAGGCAAGCACACAAACAACCTGAGACTGTAAGGCACTGAGCAGCCCCTGAAGTGCTGAAAGTGAGAGCAGGCATGTCCAATTAGCTCCAATCTAGTAGCATAAGAGGGCTTGGAGAGTCTTTCCTGTACATAGTGAGAGTGGCTAAATTTGGGTTTATCAGTTTAGGCTTATTTTTGAAGGTCCAGTTCCTCTAAAGAGAGAATAAGTTTGAATGTATATAGTGTGTGCTCTCTTCAGAGTAAGGTGAGACCCTATTTTCTACAAAGTGTTTAGTGACTTAAGTTTTTACCCCCAACCCAAAATGAGATAGTTACAGTGAGCAAAGGCAGCAGTTGCCTACTCCCTATGGAACCCTCTCTAAAGTCAATTAGTTGAGAACTTGCTGGTAATTGTTGCTGCAAGTACTGTATGGGAGATAGGTAGTTATGAGTACCTAGGAAACCGATTAAGAGCCGTTGGGGTGCTGTAGCAGACACTGTATGAAGAAAAACATATCAGATATAAAAAAAAAAATCCTGTTCACTCAAGACCCTCATCCACTCTTGGTCAACCTTACCTACTACCACGTCAAACTAGTCCTAAATCAACATAGGGAATATAAACCCACTAATGTTATTTAAATAGGACAAAAAGGGAAGAAAGGAATTTTAACCTGGTAATCCTTCTACTCCAATTACACCTCTACCCTGATATAACATGAATTCGGATATAACGTGGTAAAGCAGTGCTCCAGGGGGATGGGGCTGCGCACTCCGGCAGATCAAAGCAAGTTCAATATAACGCGGTTTCACCTATAATGCAGTAAGATTTTTTGGCACCCAAGGACAGCGTTATATCAGGATAGAGGTGTATTGTGATACTAGCCCAACCCAACAGTCTCAGGTTCAAAGACAAGTATCCAATAATTTTAGCCAACAAAAAAAACTATAATCTTGACATTTTAATTCTTGATCCATTCTGAAAGAAAAGAAAAAAAAGCCTCTTGTTCCTCAAATGATCTGAAAATAAAAGCAGACATACCTAAAATAATAACCAGGATTTCTAGACTAGCAGAATAAAATTTCAGGGGGGAAAATGAAGTACTTACCTACCTTTCACTGGCTTAGTTATGTACAAAATTAGACTTGCAGAATCTCACTATTCTATAAACAGTTCACTGAACAGATGTAATAGCCAAGCACATGGCTCAATCCATTTTCCTTGAAGTAAAAATTGGTTCTCAGGTAGGAATAGAACTGTTAGTACAAAGTTAACACCTTTAATGTATAAAAATTGATTTCTTGCATTATTAAGGTTGTGGCTTCAGAAGAACACCATACAAGCTTTCAGCATCTTCAAAGTCTGAAGATTAAATTAAATCTGACTCAGGTCACCATAATATATCTGTTTTTATTGCAGCAAACGAAATAAAGCACAAATTATTTAACTTCCATAATAATTGGGCACTATTGTAGATTAAAACTGGATTTAAAAAAAAAACTGTTCCTAAAAGGATGAAACACTTCCTCTATATGTTTTATCCTATAAAATACAGAACAATCTGATTCTTTATAAATCCTTTAAAGATCTTTATTATTTATTTAACATTTAAAGATGTGGCCTTCACATTGCAATTTCTATTTCTGCTGTAGATGCCCACTCTCCCCCCTCCCCCAAAAAATGTAAAAAGATTGGGCCAGATTTTATTCTGGTGTTTATGTTACTCATATGATTAGCTTCATTAAAATGAAGAGGAGCCTTCTTGAGAATAAAGTGAACAGGATTTGGCCACTTATAAACTATGGTCCCAATCTAGCAAACACTCAAACATGAATAGTCTCACTGACTTCAGTGGAACTAAGTCACAGATGTAAAGTTAGTATTTGCAGCATCAGGACCTAGATAGCTTTATCAATCTTGTGGTAAAATAAAAATTCATACAAATTTTAATAAGATAGCACTTGAAAATGTTTTTGTATAGGAAAACAAAATATAATTTTAAATATTAGTCACTAGCCTTTTTTTTTTTTTGTATGTCCCAGATATTTTCCTAAGAGTCAGGTTTCAGTGCAGACACTTGAGATCAATTAGGAAGAAAACAGAATAAATCAGTATGGGCTAACTTTAAAAATCAGAGATATATATGCTGACAAAACTAAATCAAAATAAGCTTTTGTTAATCACAGTATATTTAAAATAAACCAATTATTCCCCTATCAATCTTGATTTTTTTTCCATATACATGTAATACATAAAGCTACAAAATGGTGATTTAGACAACAGTTTTCTTGGCAGCAATTGTTATGATAGAGAACAGTTGCTTAGCGATCGCAGACATCCATATAACAACACAAGGATCCTATAATTGAATGAACCAATCAATGTGAAGCTTAGATAATGCTTATAATGGGAGACAGAAAATAAAATGTTCTCTTGTAGACTTCTTTCTTACAGGAATATCTGACCCATCTTCTTATCATCTAGAAGTGGGTAATATAGAGCAAAATTATGTAGGGTAACCTAGAAATCTATATATAAAAATTATGCTGCAAACTGTGATATACAAGATATAGTCATTTATTTTGTTATATGTATCTCAGCTCATGTTACTATTTGAATTCATAGTCTAACGGAATCCAAACACATTTAAATGTATTATTTTTGAAGGTCTGAACAACAAAACAAAAGTCATAGCCCCAACTGACTAGGAGGGTTAACAGTGCTTTAGCTTCCTCCTGTATGTAGTGTTATTTCCCCACATTTCACAACTTAAGAGCTGTAATGTGTTTAATCAACAAGAAAGAATCAAGTACAATGACTTTTACACAGTGCAAGGCATAATACGAATTCCAACACCATCTCATTAGGTTTGCAATTAGTTCATAGTTTCATCTTTTAGGATTACAGCTCAGGCTTGCTCAAGTTCTACAAGGACTCCATCACAATCTTTAGGGTGGAGAAAAATCACTGGTTTGCCATGCGCCCCTATTTTGGGCTCTTCGCTCAATATTCGGATCTTCTTTTCCTTCAGTTCTGTCATAGCTGCTTTTATATCATCAACCTTATAAAAATAAACATGTATACAATGTGGAACATTAAAGTATATGATTCACAGATTTTACATTAGGAACAATAGTGTAGTCCATAATAAAGATAAAGCACTACATAATTCTAAAAACCAAAAATGCTACAGAAATATGCAGTTACCTGGAGATTTTATCAATATCAATAAATGTAACATGTAAAGAAGATTTTGTACTATATTTAATAGTTATGTTTGTTAAGAGATTCATCCCATAATACATCAACCTTTTAGTTACTTTATAATGCAAAATTCATAAATAATCAAAATCAATAGCTATAAACTCCACATTGTTCCTAAATAGTAGATTGTATAGCTTTAGAATATCATTAAGCAAGGAATGTTTTCCCGTCTAACTGAAGACAGAATCCTGACTCATTAAATCCTGGGGTTATGTACCATTCACTTAGGTTCATCTTGATCTTACCAGAGTTTGGTTTGGTATAAACTGGTCTCCTCAGAGACACCTTGAACTACCAAGAATACTAGAGGATAATACACACCGGACTGTGGTCCATTTTCCTATTGGGCAATTGTACTTCATAGTAAAAGTAGCACCACACATATAATTTCAGGGCAACCTAATAACAGTATTTAAACATGGACTAGTCCTTAAGTTGTGCCAAATGGTTGTTACTTTGTATGTGCAAATATAAAGTGAGACTTTGATTCACCCAGATCTCTAATGCATGCTTGTTGGAAGAACAAAATTAACATTTAGTTTAGCACAACTACCAGTTAATAAAGTCCTGGCACTAGAATAAAAGGAGCGCTGTTTTTCAAGAATGAAGTTCCTGGACATAGCTAAATGGATAAGCTTACAAGATGTAATTGTGAAAACATAAATTTTACATAATTGAATTCTACTTCCTCTGCATTTGCACTAAGTCCTAATCCTTTTCAACTGAGATTTGTTTTTAAAAATTCTGAAGTTGCCAGTTTGCTTTTTAAAAAATGTAATTAAGGGTTCTCTAAAATTAGCAAGTGTAATACATTCTGTGATGGGTAGTAACCCCTTGAGGTTCATCCTGAGTAGAGAAATCATCACAGCTGCCTGCACTTCCTGCAGAGATAGCTAGTTAAACCAGCCAGAAGGAGAAATGTGGCTGGGCTCAGCTGGAGTGAATTACTGCATCCCACGGGATAATAATGAGAGTGACTTGTGAGAGTTTCTGGGTGCATCTCCATTAGGAAAATATCTGCTTAGTGACTGTGTGTAGCAAGAACAGGTTCCTCTCCTGTTCCACCAGGTGTCCAATATACTTTCTGTAACTGGTGTTAAAGTGTTCTGACCATTCTTTGCCAGTAGCAAATTATTTTCAACCCCACTGCAATGGGTCATTTTTCTAGGCTAGACTAGAGCTGCTCATTGTCATTTGGTCTTACATAGGAACCACGCCATCCTAATGGAAGCCCTAGAGCTATAGGAAGCCTTTATTGATGCTCTTATCTGAACTCTTTTGAATTTGTTTAGAGAAATTTTAGCACTAAGAATCTCTTGCAAAATTCTAGCTGCCAAGAGCCCCTTCTCATCCATTTAATTTAAACTCTGACCCCTGGATTTTGTGGATCTTGGCTCACTTGACCTGTTACATCTGAAAATATAAATTTCTTTTTAACATGGTTATCCCTTGCTGGGAAATGTAAAAATACTGAGTGCCACATTTCTTGTATTGTTCAGACTTAACAGTATGCTATCCTTTGACTGTCATCTTTGGTAACTTCTGCACCATGAAAGGTCACAGATCTCTTGCTGAACAGAGCTCTACATGGAACAACATCAGTGTTGCTAACAGAATGCTTCTTGAAGTATCTTTGAAACAAACAAACAAACAAACACTCCAGCTCCTAAAAGATTTAAGTAGATATAGTCATTTTAAAGATTCCTAGTTTGTTCCTCTCTTTGTACCTGTAATTAAGTAGTGTTGCTATTTCTATTACTTAGCAGTTTGGGGTTTTTTTAAACAGCCCTTACCACATATTATTCCTGTCTTCCCCACCCCCACTTCCTGAGTTCTGCTGTAGTCTTTTACATTCTTCTAACAGCACTGCAAAACAATTCTGCTTAACAGCAATCTGAGTAGATTGAATTAGTCTTTTATTTTAATATCTTTAACTGCAAATAGATACAGTAGTTACAAGAAATGTAAAACATTCTGATCTACTGAATTTCTCTGATTTATTATCCACTATATGTGTGTGCTTAAATTTGATTTCAAGGGGACTAGTCACAGTAGTAAAATTAAGCCTACACCTAAAACATTGCAGCAACACAGCTGTGTCGCTGTTGCACTTCTGTGAAGACACTACTTATGTCCATGGAAGAGCTTCTCCTGTCAGCATAGGTACTCCAGCTCCCCAAGAGGTAGTAGCCAAGTCAACAGGAGAATTCACACCCCTGAGTGATGTAGTTATACCAACCACATTTCCTAGTGTAGGCCAAGCCTTAGTGTTTACAGGATAAAGGCTTAAAAATGTTCCCCTCCCTCCTCCTCATTGTTTGGGAAATGGAAGGGGGGATAGTCATCCCTCCCTGACACACAGCCATAGGCAGAAATTTACTCCTGTGGGGAGAAGTCTACACTTCTTGAAATGGAACTGTATTTTTCTGGAAATGGTAGATCATAATTTAATGCAGCAAAAATGCATCTTATTCAAAAGGACAATCAAAGAACTGGAAAAGAGAACTAATAAAAGCATGCTTTTTGTCCCATTTCCCCACACAATCATGAATGATATAGTGTATCATCGCTTGTATTAACATTCAACATGCTTAAACAGCATTCTGCATAATCATACACTGCCATACATGGGCAAATCATTGCCCCCCTCCCTCCACCTTTTGTCTTGTTGGTTCTGTTTTTTTTCTGTGTAAATCATTAATTAAAAGGATTTATTTAAAGTAACTTATTACTGCAGAAATAGACTAATATGATTTAATACTTTATCAAGGCTCTAAACTATTGAGCCATGCGAATAGAACAAATTCAGTCCAGGAACTCTGTGCTAGGCTGAATCACAAACAGAATCTGAAATTGTCAATATAAAACATTCAGCCTTGGAAGGAGTTAAAGCAGGGGACTGCTAGCCAAGACTCTTGTGTTCCATTCCCTCCTCTACCACTGACTTACTATCTAGCCTAGAACAACTAGTTTAAACTCACTATGATTCATTTAATGCCTTTATAAATGGGAATACCTTTTTTATGTTTGTGAAATGTTTTGAGTTCCTTCTGTGAAAGACTGATATAAGTGCAACTATTAATGAGCAAGATTTTCCCCTAGCCTGTCAACTCAATGCTGCCCTATAGTCCTTCTACTATTCCAACAGATAGTCGAATGTGGGAGTTTGTTTTCCCTGTCTCATAAACAGGCAATTGTAGCCTTTTTTCTATACATGACAAGCTTCCAATTCATATGTAAAAACATCTGAATTAATTAAGGCTTTTTTGTTTTAATCTTCACTTGCATCTGTTCTACAGTCAATGACAAATTTCCATAGCAACTGAAAATTGGGGAGTTTCCATCTAAACACTCAATACTATTTTTGAATGTTATTTGTTAATACCAATCCACTACCTTCAAGATTATTTTCTTGTTCAGTGGAGAATATATCCTAAAGTTTTAATATTAAATAATAAATATTCAGGGCAATTATAATATTTCAGTTGTGATAAAGAAAATAGGAAAGTAATACACAAAGTATCAATTTACAGACTTTAGCACAGATAAAAGGCTCTAAAAGCATGAAGGTGTCTTTCAGTTTCAGGTAAAATAGTTATCACAATATTGGGTATTAATGGAGTTAACTGCTGCATAAAGTCTAAAGCTGAGGATTCCTATAATCCCAGGCCAAAAAAAAAAAAGGAGTTAGGATGGATTTAAGTAATTGATATTTACACCCTTATGAGAAAGATTAAATCTAACAGCTTGAGAGTTGTCCTATCCAATTTTTATGATTTTGTATTACACTTCTGAATTTTCATACATTTTCTGTAAGAATAATGTGAGCTGCTGGGTTTGTGATACCAACTGCTCTACATGTCATTTGAGCAATGTTATACGGTGACTGGCCTGTCTATACTGACAGTCTCTATTTTGAAAATATGGAGGCTTAATTTAGGGGGAAAACTTGGATATGTTATGCATGTG